AAAAAAAAAAAAAAAAGCGACTGTCCCTACCGAGCTGCACGTGACGTTAGTTCCACTTTGTCCCGCAGGTGAAATGAGACCTGATCCGTCCACTGTCCACTTCCGTCCCGCGCGCACACTCGGGTCTGTCCGCAGCGGAGAGACACCTGAAAGAACAAGCGACTGTTTATTCCAGTGACAGCGAAGCGAACACTGACTCCAGCGATGAGCTCACACGGTTTTATTACGCTCAACTCCGCCTTCACAGCCCGAGCGTCACTGTCAGGGGAGGAGAGCTTCCGGTGTACTATAAAATAAAACCTTCCTTGACTGAAATACATCTCCCTTTTTCAAGTTCAACAACTTCACATAATGCTTTGTTATTATTATTATTATTATTATTGTTATGTTCATGATGCATATTTATAGCTATGTGTCGTATTTATCAGAGTAATCAAAAACGTTTAGTGCCAACTTCCGGTAGAATGTTGGCAAACTTGATGGAGGTGAAAACTTGTAAAAGTTAGTCATTTATTCAAATTGGTTTTTCTATCTTGTCCTCTATAAAAAAAGATATATACACTTACATTTACTGATTGTGTATATGTATTTTTTTTTTTACTTTTACTTTATGATTTTGTGTGGAAACATAAACTTTAATAGCTTTTGTTTGACCTTCATTTGGGCACACATCCTTGGAAATCTGAGTGGAGAAATAGAGTGCTGCTTAAAGCTGTTCACTATTATGCTATCACTGTATTTCTTTTTTGGATCATGATGTTAATAATAAATTCTCTGTGGCTCTGGCTCACGCATGCCTTGGTCTAACACGGTGGGGGGCGGTGGACTCTCCGGCTCTGCAGGTCGATGATATTGGTTCATCTTTGTCATGTTGCGTCTTATTCACTGTAAATGTGTTTATCTTGATCACCGCTGACGGACAGCCATTCTTAGAGGACCACCTGTTGCTTTTCTACCTGCTGTAGTGGTGACACACGAACACACACCTGAGGAAGAGGCCGAGGTGGAGTCACATCCTTGTTGCTGCCAAAGAGGGGATTAGCTGCTGAAGAGTTTGAATTACAAGGGATTAGATGAGAGTCTGTGAGCAAATTATGACTTAATCCACCCTAAATGTTCCCCTCAACAAAGACAGGTTTGTGGGCTGTCATAAAAACAAAAACTCCACATGTGTATTCTATGGGCAGAACCTCTCCTCTAATAGATTTCACAAACAGCCTGACTGAACACACAGGTGAGGGCTTTAACAGCTCAGTATCAGCTGGTGGATCTAGGGCTTTTCTAAATAAGGGGCCGTAAGGGAGCCACAATTTACAAAGATGGGCCAATCATATGTCCAACATCTGTGCACAATTCCTCTTTCAATAAGGAGCAAAGTCATTCCTTGTTTCCTGTTAGCTCTATAGGTAATAATCATCATTGAATTTACTTGTCCATTCTAAAGATGCCTGTTTGGAATTGTCTGTACTCTTGTGGCTCTGGAGCTACTTCAGAATGTTACTGTTTGCATGCTCAACTTTGTGTAGTGACCCCCCCTCTGGATCCGCCTCTGCTCAAGGCACATTTTGGTCTCCAGTCTTTCTGGATGTGTAGTCTTTGGCAGGTTGGGGATCTTGCATGACCAGCTGGGATGCAGAGAATGTTCTGTTGTGAAAATAAACAGGGTCATTGTGTGCATGTGTGTTTGGAGGTCCTAAGAAGGTAGTGAATGAACTCACAGCTGTGCTCTCTAATCATGCCAGGCTAGGCCGCTTATTTTTCTATAGCAGGTTCTGCTTTTAAACCAATTTAACCTCCAGTGAGATAAAAGATAGCAACATCGCAATCTGATATGCAGTATAAATAATACAATTTTCCAGAAGTTCTCATTGTGCCAAAGCTGCCATCGCTGGATTTTGCAGGAGATATCATCACGTACAGGTTGAGCAGCCAAGAAAACATTTTGATCACTATTTCATCATCAAACAAGACTTCACTTGTGCTGAACCGACCAGATGAATGCATGTTCGTGCAACACATATCCTATTCAAAGCATGTGAACTGTTGAAATGTTGTTTGTCTTGTTGGTGTTTGAGCTTTACCTTCAGTGTATTGTGGAAGTGTAAGGGTCAGCTGTACATTTATTCATTAAAATATAAAGTTATTTTTGATCTTTGCTTTTAAGGCTCCAGATATCTCCAAAAGCAGCTGCAGAATATGATGGTTGTAAATGTAAAATATGTTTATCAAGAGGTCCCCACACAGTGTCCTGTATGCAGTTTGGATGGGTCAATGGCATGAAACTAAAGGTGGAATTATGTTTTGTACTGGAAACATACCTGCACATTACCAGCAAGTGAAACACAAAGATTACAATTTATGCAAAACACTGCTGTCGAGATTTTAACAGAGAAGTGATCACATTACACCAATCCATGCTGCCTTTCACTTGATACCTGTGAGTTTACAGAAGATGGTTTGAAAGAAATGTATGTTCACTATAAGGATGACGGCAGAACATAAATAAATCTACTTTTGGAACATCAGTAAGCTCCACCATTGACTGGCTGGAGTTCGCTAAAATTATTATTGTGTTGATAAACTAAATAACAGAAAACATACTAATCTGGACTAAGAGGCCAGGATTAACCAGGTATATACAAATGTTTAATGTCCACAAGTCCCTGCCCTGGAAACCAGTGGTTATAATCCATTAACTCAGAATGAAACTGAGTCATAAAAAACATCTTTATTCATCTGCTAATTCATTTAAAAATACCTGAACTTTGTACCTGCTGATACTTGCGTAAAGTGCCATCTTAAGCAGTAATGCAGTCATTAATATTGCAGCATAATAAGCAGTGTCATTCCAACATCAATGACCTGGACAAAAGCATCACTATTTTGCTTGTTTGGTCACTGCTTCAGCCACTGCTGGAGGATTAAGGAGATGTGGTCACGGGCCAGACTCAGCTGGGGGAGATCCTCACTACTGGCAGGGTACATGTTGGCACAGTGGGCTGTTCCTAGATCACAGAGAAAATCATGTATTAGGATATATGAAAGGAAAAAGTGTTGAAACTCAAACTACTAAAAAGTTTTTTTTCATTTATCAATTATCCACCTAATAAAGTTTTAGTTGAACAAGTAAGCCATTGTACTAAAGTGCTGCTTGGCAATATTCAAAGTGAAACAACCACAATATACATAAAGTCTTCAATTAACCTGCAAGAGAAATTCAGAAAGATGAATGATGTCTTGGTAAATGGAGACATGTACAATGAGCTGACTGTGTATGCATCAAACAAGGTCATAAGGATTAGATTACATGTATTTTTACTTGGACAACATTTTCATTTTCATTTGTAGCATCGTAAAATGAACCAACAGGACATATCAAAAACATTCATGTAATTTGTCAAAAATCTACCTAGTGGAACAGCCAGCATAGTTTTCATTATGTTTCATTCACTGGACAGTATTAAGAAGGATATAATGAATTATATTAAAAGAATTGAGATACAATCACACAATATGAATCATCACTCCCTATTTAACATGTAGCACACTATATTCGCTGTCTCCCATTTTATTTGTAATGTACCATAACACAATAAGTCACATTTATGCATATGAACATGTGACAAGGTGTGTCCATCCTAAGTATCAGCGATGAAACATGATGTGGATGTTTTAAAATGGTCCAAAATATCAGTTTACTGCTTAACTATAGAGAAATCAATGAAGTGTACTTTATAAAGGATATGATGAAGAATAGTATGATACACATTCATGTTATATACTGTACTTGTGCATTAAACACACATTGTCACACACAGCTCTAAACCTTTAAGATACATTTTTCTCACCTTTGATGAAAACAGCAGGGAGGTTGGCTGTGATGTCCTGCGTGATTCCCAGGGCATGCCAGGGGTCAATGGACCCGTTCGGGAAAACAATTCTGCTAGAGCGAATGTCATAGCCGCCATAATACTCGTTGGTTTGGGCCACAGCCTCCGCCAGCTGCTCAGCACTTACATTGTAGTAGTCCGCACACTGTTTCACATGATACCTGGAGCAGAAAACACAGATCAACAATGCGACATGTCATGTAATTGGAAGCAAAGACATTAAAATGGCTGTTGTTTGATAGGAAAAATCATTCTATAGGGAGATAGATGTTTAGTGTACTCACACAAGAGGGAAGCCAGTGAACGGTTGATTGGGTGAATCAGTGCTCTGGTAGAATCCAAATTCAGTGCAGGTTTGGTAGACCCATTGTCTCCCTGACAACACACACACACCCCACACATGCTCAAAGGACATTACATTTATCATAACCATGGTTACTACTTGCCCCTGGACAGCGCACACACACACACACACACACACATTTGACTGTCTCACTCATTGACATTCAGCCACTCACCCTATCCATCACAACTAAATTCTTAATCCTAAAACCAAGTGTTAACCCAAAAAAGAAAAAGCAGCTTCTACCTGTGAGGACCTCAAGTCCCAGTGTGATTTGAGGCTTAGGTCCCCACAGGGCTATAAAAACAACAACCACACAAACACACACAGAGTTTAACTCTTGGCCAGAATATTAATTTGGTTCTTAAAGAAATCGAATAAAACATTTTCACTTCAGGTTTCAGCCCCAATTATTAGAGGAAAACTTTAACCAAAAGCCAGAAAATAAGAACAAGTAGTAATTTTAGTCTACGCAGACACAGCCCAAAGGTTTTTGAAGTGATCCCACTGATCCCATTCCAGTTCCGCCCACTCATGCAACCAAAAGGGACCACAGCCCGGCGCAAGGGTGCAACAGTTGAGAATCCATTTTGGTTCAAACATGCAAAGTTGTTACCCAATACTGAAGACCTCAATGAGTATAGGTATTGTAAAAGTATTGTATCCGGTCTAAGATTAGTCACTTTCCAGTATAAAATTTGGCATAAAACACTGATGGTAAAAAAAGCTTTGGTTTTAATTTTAACTTCACCCGAAAAAAAGAAAACATTATTTTCAGATGTTTCCGTCATTTCAGGAGTTTTGTTCTGGTCTGACGTGATTTAATTACATGTTGTAGTGAACTATGTCTATGTTTGGGTTTGTTCTCTTACTCAGCACATAACCTGTCATGTGGCAGTTTTATTCTGGTCTCCTGAGGCTGTGGTGTTTTGTGCCTCTACAGCAGATGATGGCTCGTGTATTATTGGTGGGTTGAGAGTGGAACCTTTCAATCATCACATTTAATCTGTCAAAGCAACAAAAAAAAACATGCTACATGACAACCTGAAAACAGTCTGAACCACAAAAATTATCATGTCCGTAAAAATAGCTTTTATCCAGCAGTCAAACAGAACCAACTAAAACAATGTCATTGAAACTAACTTCCACAACATGCTCTCACCCACCTCCCCCTGCAGCCGGCCCATCCCAGGACGTGTTGGTCATGTCTCTCAGGTTTGTCGTGTAGCTGGCATCCAGGCACTTCATGGAGAAGGTGTCCATCATGAGGCGGGCCACAGCAGCATAGCGGGCGTATGGATCCCCCAGTGAGCTGTCAGCCATCACACCACACAGCACCTTGATGGTGATGTTCGTACCTGTTGCACCCTATACATTTAAAAAATGTCGAAAAGACAAAATCAAAAAAATTACTAAACTCTATACAGCACATCAGACTGAAGCAGATTTATCATAACATTCTGATGATCTCTCCATAAAATATAGAGCAGCAAATAATATTCCATATATAAATAGAAATGGAGAAGTGAAATTATATGAATTGGCCTGATTTATGCTGACAA